TTTGATCACCCATAGAAAGCTCGATCAGGCTCCTGTTGAAGCATCTTGTAAAAGTCTTCCAAAGCCTTAACCTCTCCAGCTGCCTAAAACAGAAAAAAAAACATCACCTAGTATTAAACATCACACTGTGATGGCAATGCTACAAGCTATATGTGCAAATGTACAAATCCAAATTTAGTCACCTTGGTGTCAGACAATCGGGCGGTGACTGCTGGATCACACAGCACTTCTGTAGAATTAAAATCTCAGATTTATATTGTCACATTAAAACAACAATGAAGAAAAAAAAACTTAAATGCAGATACACAAATGTAAATATGAAATTTTGATGACAATTTCCCTCTCAGTATGTACTTTTTTGCTCTTTTAATTGCATATTAAGCATATTCAATTATTTAATATTTTCATGCATGTCTAAGGTTAGTAATTTGCATAAAATGTGTCCAAATTATATCCATATAAAGGGTTGCCACACAATGATATATGTAAGATTTTATATATTTGCATAAAATCATCATTTTAACATTTATAAAGGCACCACAAGAATGTGATTTTTTTTTTTTGCCAATGAGCAGTTTCAATTGTTCCTATAGTTTCATAAATTTACAGTAAATTGTATTATTAAAGTTTGAGAAAACGTAGATATCATACACAAATTTGTGCTTGCACTTGGTTAGTGAATGAGACCGATTTAACCAATTTTTCGTGTTTCAATGCAGAATCCACAGTTTTGTGGCATGAATGATGTAGTGTTATTTGCTCACTTGGTGTCTGTCAAATAGATGAGCATTTTTAAAAAATTGTTGCAGTCGAAATGTAACATATTCCAAAATTTTGCACCACTGCATTGGAGCGTCATTTAAATAAGAATATATGAAAATTTTGCGTAACAAATAATGCAAATAATTTTGCTTATTTATTTCCATAATATCTGTTAGTTATCATATTAAAACAGCACTTAGCATTATATATTAGCATATATAGCTGGTACAGTACCCACATTCAAGCCAAATATACCAGTCATACCAAAGGTTGAACGCAAGATGGTGCTATGAGGAAAATATTCAGTGCCCAAGTGCCTACATAACAAAAGACAGCTTAATTTTTGAAACTTACAATTTATGTAGTTTTTATTTACTTTAACTAAAAATGAAAATGAAACTGAAAGATTAAACTGATCAGATCAAATTGTGTATTGTTCACTAGACCTCAACCGTCTTGCAAAAGAGATGACTCTTCTTTTCATCCGATAATGGTCCTGACTTTGAAAAGCAGATTATTTGTAACATTTAGTTATTTTATAGTTTAATGAGTCACAAACATTTCATTAGGTGACTTTACATTATGTAACGCTATTCTATTCCTTGAAGAACTGTAAATTTTATTCATGTTTTCCCTTATCCCAGCAAAATCTGGCAAGCCTACTAGTAAATTATGAAAGTTTTGCACATCTTCACTTTTGAAAGGTGAACAGAGTATTGACCTTTAAGTGAATACTTGTGTCCAGATGAGGAGTGCACCACCATGAATTTGGATCTGTTCTCCAGGAGAATTTTGCAGTCTTGCCTCACAGCCTCTTTAAACAGGTATGAGATGAACTGATCTTTCACAAATCCAGGACTGGCCACCAGAATACACTTCACCACTAAAAAACACAAATGCAACAAAAATATCAGTATTTATTTGTCCATTGTCCATCCTTATGATCTGAATTTAAAAAAATTAATTACCATCAAAATTGAAGTGTCTAAGAATGCCCTGCATGACAGCCTCATAAAATCTCTCCAATGCCTGAAAGAGAACACTATCACTGTATGCATATTTTGAAATATACATGAAGCAACTGAGAAGCATCTATTGCAGAACATGTAGAAACAATAGTTGCATCCATTGTATACCTATTGTATTTCTAATGGATTACATCTATTGCTAACAATCATTTGCTCAATATAATGATAAACACCTAAATGCATTTTCAGATTTATTGTCACAAGGTTTTATTGGCTCACCTTGTCATGTTGAGCACAACTGCCTTTCCTCTTGCGGGGGATGGTGACCTCAACCTTTGCCCTTAGTAAGGTCATGGCTGGAGTCACGAGAACCAGATTGGCCAGACCTTCCTGCATCACAACAGCAGCCACATCTGCTTTCTGAGCGGGGTCACATGCCTGCTCTATTGATGAGGGAAGAATCAGGGTTCAAATCAACTAGTGATGAGCTGGATCAGATTCATTAACCTTTTAGTATGCTCATGGCTGCTCTCTGCCATGCAGTGAAAGTGAATGGTGACTGCAGCTGTCAAGCCATTAAGATACTTGGTGAAGTACAACTACAAAATTCAGTTCTGTTTCTCACACAAGGTGAAGGCACACGTCATGTTTCTTTACATAGCATCCTTATGAAGCTGAAGTGTCTGTAAATGCTAACATAACGATAGTAATAAAAAAGTACCTACTTGCCTTCTAGGTCTGGAAAGCATTAAAACCATCCTTTTTACCATGGTAGCTTTAAAAAGTCACTTTCACATTTTTAACCATTTTAATTTTATTTTGGGTGGGAAATTATTGTAAAGATCCCAGATACGAGATGTGTCTTAAGTGATTGTAAACAGACGGGACAAATTAAAAAACAAAACAAAATTAGAGCTTGATAGAGGTGATCAACATCCATTTTCACTGCATGAAAGAAGAAAGCAGTGTGATTTATTTGCAAAATATATCTTTTTGTATTTCAAAGAAAAAAAATTAATTCCTGTTTTCAAACCTGGATGCCAACATAAAATTATAAAAATATTATAAATATGATAAAATAATAAAGAAAGCATTTAATCATTTTTTCATAATTTAGTCATTAATCATTTTTTAAACATTTTGTTACATAGTATGTGAAATAGTTATTAGTCAGAAAAGCTCATTTTAGTCAGAAAATATGCTAAAAAAAACACCAACACATTACCAATTCTGTCCAACACCACGCTGTCCCAGACTTTTTTGGCAAGAGTGAAGTTTCTGTTGAGCTCCAGTTCAATGGTATGATAGGCACCCATCTACATATGACACAAGAGAAAAAAGCATTCACATTTAGGCTAAATTAACATACGGAATATTCCCAGAGGGTCAATATAAATTACTATACTTAATATTCAAATTTATAAAGTATAAATTCTATTTTAGGTGTAAAGTTGGCACAAATGTCAACACTATTTATATCATACATTTTACATAAATTTACATGTCATAAGTGCAACAAACCTTTGAAATATGAAAAAAAATCGAAGTTAAAAATTCTAAAAAGCAGTCTATACATTTCTAAATGCACTCTGACCTTCACATACTGGTTCTCCTGGATGTTTGTTCCTTTGACTCTGAGCTGACAGGCCTGGGAATCAAAGTCTATCGTCTCCACACATAAAGTCAGTGTGGTGCGCACACGTGAACTGCCCACACTGCCTGTGGAGGACTCTGTCTGCACTTTCCTGTTTGTGACATCAGATTGTTTTCACCGAGTAGAAAAATCTCAGATAACAAGTGTGATAAAACAAAACTGGTAAAAGATGGTGGTCAGTATGGCATAAAAAAAGGGACAGACCTGATGGTTGAGGCTCTGAGGCTGTCGCCCACCTGCAGCAGGTTGTAGGTGTGCCACATATCCTCTGCTTCCTCAGGTATTAGTGTCACCTGACTGAAAATAAAAAATCAGAAACAGAAGACAGAAACTTTCACTTTTGTGATGCCTACTTTGCTCTTTAACTGTAAAGGCAAGGCAAGTCAGTTCACTCTTGAGACTGCACTAGGGCAGCTATTTTCTAAGTACTGCTTCAATCTGACTGAATGGGGTAATACTGAAATTATGAAATCGACTTTATTTTTTCAATAACAAAAGAATTAAAATCTGACATGAATGATATCATAAACATTTTACTTACACTATTTATTTAATGTTACATCTATTTTTATATATTATTACATTTATTTTTATATTAAATCTGAACTAGGGCTGCACGAGGGGCGTGGTTTGCGCCCAACTGGTTTGGGAAAAAAAATCACGCGTTCGGGAACGGAGAACGCAACTAGGACGCTATCACAGGTGTTGTGCCAAATTTTGACCCCCTGATTATTACCCCTTCTTTAAGGCTCATCCTCGAGTGACAAGTAGAGAAGGGAGAAATGCCTCTGATATTAACACATCAACAACAGTCATGATGATAAGAAATATAATCAAAGTGTCATTGCCTGAGTTCCACCGTGATGCTTCAATGTCCAACATTGCCCCTACAAGCCTATTAGTTAAAATCAAGGGAAATAAAAAAATCTTTCATTTGAGTATATTGTTAATAAGTACAATACAATAATAAGTACTACAATACTATGTAGTAAGATGACACAGTATTACTAAGAAGAAGAGAAAAAAATTATAACCAGATTATGCATTGGTAATTCAGGATTAAATGCAAATTTATGTTAAAGGGGTCATATGATGTTGCTAAAAAGAACATTATTTGGTGTATTTGGTGTAATGAAATGTGTTTATGCAGTTTATGGTTAAAAAAACACATTTTCCACTCAAGCGTGTGATGGAAATGTTACGCCCCTTACCATACTGTGATGCCGTGTCCCGGCCGGAGCGACGAGACAAAAACGTTAAAACCCATTACAAACGAGGCATTTGTTGCATCCAGTGGGGACATAATTACGGATTATAATGACATATACTGTCTTTTTACGTGCTGCGTTGCATCGCGCCGCCTAAACATAAAACCGCGCTGATTACAGAACCGGCTTTCTGACAAGATGCGCGTTAAATATCGCATGCGATTTATCGTGCAGCCCTAATCTGAACTCAATCCAACAACAACATGGTTGTTATACGAGTCAGCTGAAGAAAAAGTCAGAGTAAGTCCATATGAAATCAAAACTGACCACATTTACTTTATTAGCGAATTTAACTAGTTCTGTGGTGAAAAATTAGCAAAAATGTATGTGCGTGTCTGGAGTGAATTAATTTATTACTTGAAATAATGCAAATATTATCTGAAATAAAATAACTTGGCACACAACTAGCCACAATCGGTCAATAGAAGGCGCTACAGGAAAGGCAAACGCATTTTTGGGCTGTGGCAATATTGTGTTTGTGAAACAATCATGCCAAGTTTGCCAACAAAGCACTGGGTTAACAATGACAGCATCTGAGGTATAACAGGCGCTTTTCAAGTCAGTTCGACAAACAAAGAAGAATTACACGTAATTTTATTCATACCAAAGTACCCAGTTGTTGCCGTATGATACCACCACTGCATCATGGTACTACCACAGCACTCAGAATGCGCCCACATGATGTCCAAAAGCGTTGTACAGAAAGCACTTACCCGGCATTATCCTTCTCGATGTCTTTATGAACCAACTTCATGGTCAAAAAGGTTAGCTATTCAAAACCAAACTGCATATTTGATTGTGAGTGTTCTATTCCATTTAATCGTCGATTTTGGTGACGTTTCCGCATAAGCAGTGGCACATTCTGCCACTTTAGAATGAATCGGACGATTCGAACTGTCGCTTTCTGTTCGCGTCAGATAGCTGATGGATTGCGTCATTACGTCATTTCTAGCTTTGGTTACTTCCGTATGTTGGAAGAACGAATACATTATATTTCATTTATATTTCGAATGTATTCTTTTAACAGTACATTTTATGAATAATTAGCAATCGGTGTTAATAAAGTATATAAACCATCCAACCTGAGAAATGTTTTACATCGCTATAATAACTGTACAGTGTTTCGCGTTTATACGGTGAATCTGAGATTATACACTGATGAATGTGGTTTTAATTTGCTTGTTAACAATTAAATATAGAAAAGATTGACACACAGAATATCCTATTGGCTTTTCAGATCTGCATTTGAAGCGATCGTCATAAACCGAGAATAACCAATCAGATACGCACTTTAGTGTCTATCCCGCCCCTTCGGCGTTTCCTACAACCGTCAGCGGTCGTGGTACTAGTTTACCTCAGACAACGAACTACTGAAGGGACCATTCGCGGCAATAACATCATAATATGAACTCAGGAATACTATCAGTAGTGTGACTTTTTTAAAAATAGAGGTTTGTTTTTAAGTTATTGTCGTGTAATTGTATTATTGGGCGGTTTCCTGGGTCGTCTTGTTCCTGTCTCTGTTAGCCGGCTAATCTCCAGCGAGCGACAAAATGGCTGATTCGGACAAGTTAAACATCGATTCAATCATCCAGCGCCTTTTGGAGGGTAATAAACGTTATTCTTTCTTATTACAAACTGTTCCGTTTTATTGTGTTAAATAGCGATTATGCGTCTGAAAACGTATGATTTTATTTGTTCATTTCGTCATCTGCAATCGAACGTATATGTAGCGATGTAGTATTGGGTGTAAGTACGTAACCCTATCAATCCTATTCGCATGTTTATTACATGAAATCCGAACAAAACTTCAGCGCATGCGCAGTGCGTCAGTCGTCTCGTTCGGGAAGCGTGATTTTTTTTTCCCAAACCAGTTGGGCGCAAACCACGCCCCCAACGCGAAAACCCCACCCCGCAGCCATGACTCATGTCTCTGGTTCGATTTCATTGGTCAACTATATCACAGCGCTGATTGGCTACACCGCGTTGACACAAACGAACTCATTTTAATATAATATCCAAAACACAAAAGAGACACGACACAAGTGTAAGAAATGAAAACGTTGTACACACAATTTACAACTTAAATAAAAGGGTGTATAAAATGAATAAAAATAGTGCATAAAACTATGCATAAAACTACATAACATAGGCTGCTATAAAACATGCACACAGAGTAGCTTAACACTGAGAAAACGACACTTATGTATTGTACAGAACAAAAACCGGCAAACGCAATAAAAAGATTTT